AAAGAGGAAGACCCCCACCAAGATGGATTGGCCAAGTGGCAGCATCAATGGACTCAAGCGTGGCAACAGTAGTGAGTTTGGCCCAGGATCGGGAAGTGTTTTGTTCGGCTGTGCATAAGGTCTCTATGGGTCGGTACCAACTCCATGGCACTAACAACAACAACAACAAAGTGTGTCTTTATTATTCAACCTTCACTTTGTTATTCAAAATTCCTACACTAATAATAATTTGTATTACAGATGGAGGAAAAACTCAATTGTCAAACAGGACAACAAAAATCTATGATGTTTTCTTACATGTACATTTCGCATGCATAATGTTAGGGTGAGAAAGAGCTCTTTCAACAATTCTTGGCCTAAAAGCTATAGGAGAGAAGACAGTCATATTTGACTATAAATATTTAAAATGAATGTGACCAATAATCTTTCCCCTAAGGATGTAGCCAACAGATTATATCAATACAAAAGGATAGTATATGTTAGTAAGTCTATGGAAATGATATGTATTAAGACGGAAGGGAAGAAGGGGAAGAAATAAGGAGAATGGAAGGAGAGAGGGTGAAGTTAATTTTAGGTCCCTCACCTTTTGTTTTGTTTTCAATCCATGAGTTAATCTGCATTCTGGTGTCTTCTATATTGCTTTTGAAATCCAAATTTTCAGGTTTCACTTTGTATAATTGCTCCATACAGTCTGAATATTTCTATAAATAAGAATAGAAAAAATAAGAGCTATAAGAACTAAATCATGATTTTAATATACTTAGACCTTCATGGTAGGAAGTATAGGTAAATGGAAGTACAAATGTATAAAAGACTGTTATATAGAACTGTTGTTGTTGTTGTTGTTTTCATTAATTGCCCTCAAGTCAGGTCCAACTCATAGCAAACTTGTATAGGGTTTCTGAGGAGCGGCTGGTGAGCTTGAACTACCAGCCTTGCAGTTCAAACGAACCTTGAGGTCAAGTGCTTATCCTACAGCGCCACACCAGGATCCCTGAACGAACTAATAAAAATATATACAGTACCATTTTCATGTTTGAAGCAGAAACTTAAGTAAAATTAACAAATAACTAAAGGGTGTTATTTTATTGACAAGAACATTTTCTTTTCAGCCTCAGACATTTTGCCTTATGCCCATAAATGAAAAATCAGTACAATCAATTTTAGAATTATCAGTACCCTAAATCTGGAGTCCCAAGGTGTCAATTCCTTTTTGACTACTGATGTCAAAATCTTTCAGTGGTATGTTTTAAGTCATAGAATATGCAAAATATATGTTTTTATGCTTCTGAAACCTAACTGGACTAGTTAGAATCTAGTATTAGAAAATGACAATCCTAAATCCTTTTATAATTTTCTAGATAAAAATGCAAAAAATATATCTTTTATATTCTATTTGTCTCACATACATGCTTTAGTCACACTATCAGGAGTGACCAGTCCCTATAGAAGGACATCATACTTGGTGAAGTAGAGGGGTGGCGAAAAGAGGAAGACTCTCAGTATGATGGCCTGATACACTGGCTGAAACAGTGGGCTCACACCTAACAATCGGAAGGATGGTGCAGGTGGCGGGACCAGGCCGTGTTTGGTTCTGCTGTACATAGGGTGGCTAGGAGGCAGAATGGACTTAATAGCACCTAACAACAACAATAATCTATAACGTATGTGGTATATATTATGCTTTATATACTTTACATTTCCCTCAGCTTTGGAAACACTAAGAGTTCAAGGATAGATTATATAAAGACAGGAATGAAAGGTGCCTGCCTACTTTACTTGTGGAAACATGGTTTCCTTTGACTCACCGGGAGAAATGGATGAGCTTTATCTGCAAACATTCCAGTTGTCATGTAAACTGGACTGCCTCTGGACTTGCTGATTTCAGAGAGGAGGGCTTGGATGTATGAGTGGATTCCCGTATCTTTTCCACACTAAGATGCAAATTAAAAAGATTTGAAACTGTAGAGCTGTGACTTCTGGGGCCTAAGGATGAACTGACGCTAGATCAGAAGTCCTTCAGTCTGCACTCAAACCAGCACCAACTTTTCCTGGAGACAGTCAGTGCAGAGCGATGATGGCCCCACATGAGTCAGAGAAGAATTGTGTTCTATAGGGTTCAACAGCTGATTATTTTTGTGTGTTTTTGCTTTCTGTAAATGTTTATTAAACTTGTAATAACAAAACCTATGAGGTTTCATGTTTTAATGTACAGTGAATTATATTGGAATACAAAATACAGTTTAGAGACTTGTCTTAGCACATAAATCACATAAACCTGAAGAAACACACTTGATTTTTACGTTTGTTTTTTTACATTGAAATTTTTACATTGACATTTTTAGTTTCATATATTAGGAAAAAAATACACCTTCACATCCTATTAGAAGTTAGAAATTATGCCAACTTTAATGTAACTCAGCAGATTATTTTTCTAAAGTAGATCTCCAGGTATCTCTACCGAAGCACCTGGCGGTGGTCTCCAGCCTCCAACTTAGCAGCAGGGTGCATTACCCATTGGCACCTCCCAGGGACTCCTCTTGCCTTGAGCCACTGCCATCTGATAGATTCTGGCTCATAGAGACTGTATTGTTGTTTTTGTTGTGATTAAGGGCACCCCCAGATTTCATCAAACTATTTCAAAACAAATCAAATCGTAGCCTACTCACTCCACCATTTGTACATATTGAAACTCTTCCCTTTCACCACAATGAGTAGCTTGGCGACCTGCTCTTATATAAAGATCCTAAGTGTCTATGACAATCTCCTTCACAGGTGTGTGGGACAACCTGGCACCACTCCTGCCCGAGTCAGGTCTTGCCCTGTCTCCTCCACCAGTTGGCCCAGGGCACACATCTTGACATATTATTTTTAGAAAAATTGGCATGCAAAAAAACTTTGTAGTACTTTGTAACATATAGAAATATTGAGTAATAAGTCTAGTAATAAATACATAACATTTGGTCTAAGTGACCCCACTCGAGAGAGATCACATCCTCTGGGAAGCCACAGAACACCTCAAACAAAAGAAGCTACGTGTTACCAATTTCCCCAGGAAATTACCAATATAGAGAAACACTGGACAAGAAGACTCAAAAAGGTAAGCCTATCTTTATGCAGTAACATTTTCCAAAAATGGCACTTGTGTGTTGAGACCTGGGATTCCCATTTCCCTCTTCATTTTCTGAACCCGAGTGAAAGAAAAAACACAAACAGCTGTGTTTCCTACACAGGGGCTCCAGGGGCTCCAGGTGCTGTTGGAAGCTGCTTGTGTGATGAATGACCTCTCCAGGTATCTTTTGGGGTTCCAAGATGCTGTCTCCTTAGACTAATCTCCCTTCTGAACTTATTACTCAATGGAGGGCATAGCCCTTCTTCTTAAAGACAAGTCATCTTTAGTACATTCTTTTGAACACTTTTCATTTTGTCACCACTTAATTCCAAATGATTTATTCTTTGAAAACAGCCTATGCATGACTGCTAACTCAGTGACGGTATGTATTCAAGGAGATCTGGAATACGTGTTCTCTCATTTACTTTAACCTTAGGTCTTATGATGCATCAGAGAGATTTAAAAAAAAAAAAAAAAAGCAAAAATGTTGTATCTACCTCTTCGTTAGAAGAATTAGCAGTTCTTGTCAATTCATCCAAGTGCAGAACCTACAATGGAAAACACAGAACTACTTTCAAAGGTTTTGCAAATATTTCTTCAGAAGACCAGACCATGACACCGAAAACCATTTTCTTGATAAATGATATGCTTTTTGCATTTTATGAATTTTCTATTGTTTACTACCCTTTTTACTTGTAAGTTTCTTAGTTTTTCTCTTCATTAAGAAAAAGGAAAATGTGATTTCAAGGAGAAAAGGTGAGTCTGCCAAACAAAATCTTTCAAGTGCTCTTGGGCAGGAGTTTAAGGGTTAGGGAGCACTGGAGATGGAGTGTAGGTATTATCTCAAAAAAACAAAAGCAGAATCTGTTCCCATCAAGTGAAATCAGACTCAATGGGACTTTACAAGACAGAGTAGACCTGCCCCCTAGAGCTCCGAGGCTGCAGCCTTCATGGAAGCCGATTACCACATCATTCTCTCCTGGAGCAGCTGGTGAGTTGCAACTGCCAACCTTTCCACACTAATGTCCAACTTCAGGGGCTCATTTTCTGGCATTATATCTGACAGTGTTTCTCTGCTGTTCACAAGGTTTTCAGTGACTAAATATTCAGAAGTAGTTTATCTGTCCTTCTTCCTAGTCTGTCTGTCTGGAAGCTCATCTGAAACCTGTCCACCATGGGTGACTTTTGTAGGCAGTTAATATCCTTGGTCATTCACTGGTACACAATAATTATTATATCACAGTTTGGTGATTGTTTTCAAGTTGCTTTCACAAACATTAATTATCTGATTCAGTGCTTACAGTACCCCTTTGAGTATCTAGTTTTTTTGTTGTAGCTGTTGATTCAGTTCCAACTCATAGCTACTCTGTATAGGGTTTCTGAGAGGGCTCGTGGGTTTGAACCACCAACCTTGTGGTTACCAGTCCAGGACTTATCCTACAGTGCCTCATCAAGACTCTTAAAAGTCCAGTAGTTGGTATTATTCTCTTCAATAAAGTTCATGTTTCCTGATGGCCAAATTTTGTCTCTCATACTTCAGACATATTGTCAAGGAGCGACCAGTCGCTGGAGAAGGATATCGTGTTTGGTAAGGTGGAGGGTCAGAGAAAAAGAGGAAGACCCCCAACAAGATGGATTGGCCAAGTGGCAGCATCGATGGACTCAAGCATGGCAACAGTAATGTGTTTGGCCTAGGATCGGGCAGTGTTTTGCTCTGCTGTGCATAAGGTCGCTATGAGTCGGTACCTACTCGATGGCACCTAACAACAACAACAACAGTCTTGGTGTCATGGTGTAGGATAACCAGCAGAATGTTAACCACAAGGTTGGTGGTTCACACCCACCAGACACTTCTAGCAAACCCTACACAGGTTCACTGTGACTCGAAACCAACTCAACAGCACTTCATAGCAACAACTGTCTTATAGTCACACAGTCACTGATTCAGCTGAGGTCTCACCATAATTTACTAAGGTCATCTTTACAGAATAGCTAAAAAAAAAAACTTTTTGTAACTCTCCTCAAGTATTCACAGTGAGTGGTTCAGATGTATCTTGTGGTTTTAAGAACAGAAATGGGGTAAGGAGGTAGTGTGTGTAAGGTGAGTACACCACTCCTAAAGTACAGATCATCTGGTGTGGTACTGTGATAATACCAAGCACTGGACCGATAATGTCAAGGTCAGCAGTTCAAACCCACCAGTCGCTCCTCCAAAACTCTACACAGGGTCACTATGAGTCATATCTGACTTGACAGCACTTAACAACAATAAAAACAATGAATGGTTATTAATAAACTACTCAGCAGCATTATGTTCTGCCTTATTAAAGGATTTCAAAGTGTCTGAACAACCTCTCCACTGAGGTGTAACAGAGCACACAATTATTGTTAGGTGTCCCCAAGTTGATTCCAACTCAGAACCACCCTGTGTAAAACAGAGCCAAATACTGCCCAGTCCTGGGCCATCCTCAGCATTCTTGCTATACTTGAACCATTGTCATAGCCACTCTATGTCAACCCATCCTGTTGAGGGGCTTTCTCTTTTTTGCTATCTCTTTATTTTTCCAAGCATGACATCCTTCCCCAGAGACTGCTCCAAAATATGTGAGCCAAAGTCTTGCCATCCTTGATTCTAAGGTGCATTCTTTTCAACCCTAGCACATAGAACAGAGTTGGAATTTTGTGAGATGGCCCAAGAGCAGCATGAAGACATCATAAGAGCAGCACAAAACCCAAGCCCATTACGGTAGAGCATATTCTGATTCGGAGGGACCCTGTACGACACAGTAGAATAGCCCCATTTCCAAAACTCTAGTCTTTATGAAAGCAGGCTGACATTACTTCCTGTGCAGTAGCTGGTGGATTTGAACTGCTGACTTTTTGGTTCACAGTTGAGCGCTTAGTCACTGCACCACCAGCGCTCCTTGAAGACATAATGCTCTTGTTGCTGTTAAGTGTTGAGTTGGTTCCAACTCATAGTGACCCCGTATAGGGTTTCCAAGAAGCAGATGGTGAATTTGAACAACCTACTTTGTGGATCAAACCGATCTTTTGGTCCAGTGCTTTATCTCACAGAGCCACATTAGGACTCCAAGGACATACTACGGGTCCATAATTCAAGGACTGTGCAAGAATGGTGCATTCTGGCATTGATTCAACCTTCGTAACCATCATCATCATCATTGGAGCACAGTTGTTGGACCTGGAATTCTGAGCTGTTGGCTGAATCTTTCAAGCATTGTAGGAAAGAAGCACTATTGGGATGTAAAGATGAGGGTTTTTCTTCATTCTAAAGCACTGGACTACAAGGTTGGTTTGGACAACAAGGTCAATGGTTTGAACTCACCAGATGCTCCATGGAAACCCTATACAGGGTCACTCTGAGTGAGAATGGACTCAAAGGCACTTAACAACAATAACATGCTAGAAGCAGTGAGGAAAAACTTTTTAGTTCCTCAAGTCTCTTCTAACTCAGGTCACATGATTGTCATAAGAGATAAGGAAGTATTTCCAATCTTTTTGTTCACAGCACGGTGCATCATGTATCTCTCTGGTTGCATAACCTGAAGCAAACACTGGCATGGATGGGGTCACCAGCCAGCAATGCCTCTCACCTAGAAAGAGAGACGGGGCAAAAAGTGGCTCTATGCATCCTCACTGCAGATGACTTGGACAGATTCTCACATCTTCCTCATTCTCAGCTATGTCTTTCTCTCTGCACACATGAATTTAAAGAGCACCTACTATGGGTGAGACCTACTTTTCTGATGCATGCAAGGAGAATCAAATGGAACACAAGAGTCTTTACATTTAATGTTCTTTTTATGTTTAAACTCAGAGTTGGACTCCAGCTTTTCATATTCATTTCCAGTTCAAATCCTGGATTGGGAGACAGCGTATTCCACTGTTAACCATCCCCATAAAATCAGTGAGCGATGAGTAAGACAAGTTGAAAGATCCCCACCAAGGGATATTGCTTCCACTCACTAGAAATTCTCCATTGAGTTAAAAGTTGATGATTCCCTTGGTAATTTGTGTAAATTATAAATGCTTCCCTTAGATTGTAAGCTTCTTAATATTACTCAATATTATATTTATGTGATGATATTCATTCATTTATTCAGTCAACATCTCTTAGTCAACAGTCAAAATAGCTTTGAAAGCCTCTTAAGGGCTGGGTCCTAGAAGCAGTGGGCCCTCACTCAATCCAGGACACAGTCCTGAACACTTGATATAGTTTTGTCATCAAATGTCACTTGTGCATTTGTATCTCAAAGTAGATTACTTTCAAAGGGTTATGTTATGATGAAACAGAGCATAGAAGGAATGAGTCTCAACTGGGAGGGTGTTAGATGCTCCAGAATTGGGGAAACAGTTTGGGGATCCTAACTCACAGCAGAAAGACTCTAGAGGAAGCTAAGGTTGCAGTTGGGTGGGGTGGGGATGAAGATTTCAGTTCTACCACAGACCAGGGGCCCCAGCTGTTGTCCCTTCATTGCTTGCCTCTCTGAATAGAGCTAGGAGAACTCTTGCCTTCTGCATCCTTTTATAATAGGTGATCTCATAGATGACCTTAAGTGATGATGGGCATCCTCTTGTGTTTCAGAATGGGCTGTCTATGAGCCTCCATGGAAGACAGTCTTGACATCACTTGACTGTCCTCTAGACACAATGAGGAGTGTCTCTGTGACTTACCTTTTCTATCTGAGAGGCACTCTCACCTCTGGCCCCAAAAAGCACCACAGCAAGGGTGGACAAGAGACCCAAGGGAGAAAAGAAGAGATTCTCAGTTGTGTGGTCATAGCTCATTTCTCGAAAGACATCAAAGCAGAACTGTGCATTTGCAGCACTAAACATGTCCATTGCTCCGCCTGTTATCTGGAACACAAATGTGAGTGTCAACAACAGCATTAGGTCAAGACTCTGCTATTTAATCATTTATTTCAGACAAGGGCAAAGATTACTTATGTTTCACGAAACTTACAAGTCCTTGTGTGGTCCTGCAGGATAAGCCCTGGACTGCTAATCAGAAGGTTGGTGGTTCAAACCCACCATCCACTCCTCAGAAGCCCTACAGAGGGTCGCTATAAGTCAGAACCTCCTCAACAGCATTTAACAACAAATGTTCAAGGGGGAGCTTTGTGGAAGAAAATAACAACAACAAACCCAGAAATTCTGATACCAAATGCACTCTGACTTGGGCATGTCCTTGCTTTACGACCCTTTATGAGATAGGCCCAGTTTACTGAGTGGTTGGCCTTTAAAGCTCAAATCAGCTTGTCCTGACTCCTTAAATGTATGTACTGAGCACATGCTCTGAGCAAGAAGCCTTGAGGTGCATTTTCTCATTGAATTTCACCACAAATTCCAGAGGAAGGTATCTGTAGGGATCTCGTTATGATGCCCACATCTGCCTTCAAGACCAAACCACTTATTGCCCTTGTCCAGAGTGTGAGGAGCTGACTCTTTCTCTGATAACTGTGGAGGCCAAGGAGACCCACACACCATGGGTGACCTACACTCAGGACTGGTCAGCCTGGAAAACTAAGGTATGTCACCTTTGAAAATAAAGGTGGGGAGATTTTTACTATCACTCCATCTTCAGAAGCCCTTCTTTCCAGAGTCATGTCCCAGAGAATCTAACCAAAACGTTATAGATTTACGTATGTTCTTGAGCTACGGGACCTATACACTTTTCTTCATCACAGATGCCTTGGGAACTAGCGTGACCCACTCAGAAATCCTCAAGAGGGTTCTCTGGGCATGGATGTATGCTTCCTTTGTTTATTTTAAGAGAATTCCACATTCCCAATTCTGCATTCTCTCTCTTTCTTTCATAGGGTCGACTCGAGTACTTATAAGATTTTGTAAGACTGTCTTGTAAAATTCAATCTATTAGAAGACATTGAAATATGTAAAATACGATCAGGGAATTAGAGAATTTCAATAGTGTAGTTGGGTAGCTCTATTGTCTGAATTTAAATGCCTACAACTTTCAGAAAAGAACACCGAAAACTATGTACTCCAGAGGAATCTGTGAAGTTTTAAAAAATTGTCTCTCTGTTACCACTAAGTCCAATACAAACTTGTCTTGTTGTTGTTGTGAAGTGCCATCAAGTCGGTTCTGACCCATAGCGACCCTGTGTAGGGTTTCCGATGAGTAGTTGGTGAGCTTGAACCGCTGACCTTGTGTAGCCACACTTAATCAAACTAATTAACCAAACGGAGCAAGAGTGTGTTTCCGTGTGTGTATTCTGCTTACTACTGAATTCGTTCAACTCAAGGCAATACTATTTTTTTTAATATTCATTAGAAAATCTGATAGACTTCTATTAATAAAAAAGAGGATCAAAACCACTATTCATTAACTACGCTTTCACATTCAAAATATTTTAAAGCATGTGATCCACAGGGGAGGGGAATTAGAAAAGGGGTTTGGGGTGGTGCAAACTTTGGTTGTATCTTGTATATTGTAATGGTCATGACTTAGTTATAGATTTAATTTAAATAGCTCATGGGGCACTTTGAACTAAAGTCTTAGGGAAATGCCTTGTTTGGTCCTCATGTTTCAAAAGGGGGAAAGAAACTCGGTACGGTAAGTCTTGTAAAGACACATGAAAAAGAAAACTTGTGGTTTCTGGGTTTGGCTGAGAATATTAACAGGAAAGTCCGAATTCTGACATAATTAAATCAGAAGAATTTAATTTACCCAATGCCTTCCAATATCAGGAGGTCCAGCAACCACTTTTCCTAGCTTTCCCGAAAGGTGTGGTTCCGATAAAGCAGTCTTAACATTTTCTACACAAAGATGAGCAAGTTTAAATGGCCTGGCCATTTCTCACAGGAATTTACCCCTTCCTTGAAAAGCAACCACTCTTTTCACATCAGCCTGGAAGTGAAAGTCTCTGAGCATGAACGTCTTGGTCGCCTCATTGTCTTTATTAGAACCTGGTGGGGATGGAATGGAGAAAGAGAAGTGGAGAGGCCTGCGGGTTCACGTGCACAAGAAAATGAGAATAGATTTAAGGGCAAAGTCCTATTTCTGAGTTTATGAAATGTAAAGCAGTTTGGTTCCCTCCCGCCCACCCCACCCCCCACGCACCCCTACGCAACTGTTTGGAAAGATCATCTTATATAACTCACATGTTAAGTTGTTGTTGTTAAGTGCCATCAAGCTTGTTCTGACTCATAATGACCTCGTATAGGGTTTCAGAGGCTGTACATATTTATAGAATCAGAAAGCCTCATCTTTTTCCCTCAGAATGGCTGATGGGTTTGGATCACCAACCTTGTGGTTCATAATCCAGTACTTATCCTCTATAGACACCAAGCTCCCAGTAACTCACACAGTGTTGTTAGCTACTATCTATCTCACACAGTGTTGTTAGGTACTATCTCACACAATGTTGTTAGGTACTATCCAGTTTGTTCAGACTCATGAGCCCCTATGAACAACAGAACGAAACACTGCCCAATCCTGCACCGGCCTCACAGTCATTGCTAAGCTTGAGCCCATTGCTCTCTTAAAATCAAAGCATTCTTGGGCTACCCCAGATAATTCTAATTAAATGTACAGAATCCAAAAACAGGTTTGTCCTGCTGAAGGGCCAATCCGTTTAAATGGTCAATCATGAGTTTTTACAATAAAGTTTTCAAACCAAGCAAACTGGGATTCTATATGAACATTACCTTTGCTATACATGTGAGTATCCAGTAGGATTTCTCTAAGCCTATATCTATAAAATAAAAAATTAACAAAAGCCCATAGTCATTGAGTGGATTACTACTCATAGCAACTTTATGTAGGATTTCCAAGGCTGTAAATCTTTATGGGAACAGATAGCCTCATCTTTCTTCCACAGAGCAGCTGGTGAGTTTGAACCACTGTTCTTGCAGTTAACAGCTCAGTACCTAACCCTCAGTGTCACCAGTAAAAATAATAAATACCTTGAAAGTTTGTTGTGATAATTAAATTCTATAAATAATATGACATCTCAAGATAGAAACTTTATTCTACAAATATTATTTTCCTTTCTCTTAAATGAACGTGGCCTTAATTCAGAGTGATGCTGTGCATCAGCCCTAGACTGCAAACTCACCAGCTGCTCTTCGGAAACCCTAAACAAGGGTGCTATGAGTTGGAACCAACTTGGTGGCGCTTAACAACAACAACAACAACAAGAGTTATAGATACGGGAACAATAGTCCTAGGTCCCACATTTCATTCAACAAAAGAAAACTGAGATAAGATAATAAACCCAGCAGCGTTCATGTAAGTAGAAAGCCTCAAATTCAGAACTAAAATCCAATTTTTCTAAGTCTCCATATCGCATGTTTCCCTCTAGTTCACCAAAGAGAGACATAACCTAAAATAAGAGGCTCTAAATTTTGAGACCACATAGCACATTTCTCCTTGGGTGTCCATAGATATTTACAGACAAATTATTAATTCAACCTCAGTTCCATCATCTTTAAAGTCCTCATCTTAGCCCAGGCATGAAGACTGGGAGTAGGAAGAAGCAGATTTCCACAATATTGAAAACCAGAACATAAGCAGATGGAAAGAAACCATCCGGCCTAGATTTACATCTGTGTTCCTGCTCCCTGCCAACTCTTCACTCCATGGAGGTCTCACTGCCCCTTTCCTTTGGTTCCAACTAAACACGTTTCCCTACGCTTTCTGTGAAATGCCTAAGTCATCACCGGTTACAATAATCTTATCAAAGAAGGTACAATCTAATGTTTGAGTTGTTAACCTTACCTTCAGGTTGGTCAAAATCCACACTACGCAGGCACACACCGTCCTCAGCACAAGACACTTGCTCCTCCCAGGCCTTCCCAGAATTTACTAGTTGCATAAGTCTTTCTTCCTCATACTGTGAAATGATTTAACACATTTATATAAAGGGACAGAGAGTGAACTCACTGGTGTGTGAATTGTAATATGTGCTCTCTGTGTACTCTGCTTCCCTGGGTCAACACAGTAACCCAAGACATGTAGGAAGCAGTAATTAAACATGCATGCCATGGGTTTTGGCAATCATTGAATGTTATTTTATAATTTAAAATATGGTAGGTATTTTAAAATCAAATGAACTATGTATTTATGTATTATACACCCATGGTAAGGATGACAAAGTATTGGTATCCAAAAGCCAGAAACGAGGCCCTTTGTTTTGGGAACCACTGACGGGTTTCTTTCCCTGACTTCTGAGATAAGCCACAGTGAATGAAATATTGTTTCTCTGGGCACAGAAAGATCCAGAGATGAAGTAACCCTTGTTGAGTGAAAGTTTCAGGCACATCTTAAGACAAAATGTAGCCATTGTTCCCACACAACACAAGCTGCAAATGGGTTGTAGCCCCAAATCATAGAATGCACCGCTGTCTTCACTTTTTCATCAGAGGGGAATCTTTGTCCTGGAAGAGCTGCTTTCAGGACACCAAACAGGTGAAAGTCTAATGGAGCAAGATCAGTACTATAGGGAGGATGCTTTAATACTATCTATCTATCTATCTATCTATCTATCTACCTATCTATCTATCTATCTATGTGTTATTGTTGTTGTTAAATGCCTTTGAGTTGGTTCTGACTCACAGCGACACTGTATAGGGTTTCTGAGGAGCGACTGATGAGATCAAACTGCCGACCTTGAAGTTCAAACTGACCTTGTGGTCTAGTGCTTATCCTACATTGTCACACCAGGACTCCACATGCATATAATTTCCCTGGAGAAAGCAGACTGAAACCTTTGGTACCATAAATGGAGTGGTTCTAGAGGAACAAATCACAAGGATGAGGTTTCTGACCTGGTTCTCAAGTCTGACTCGTCTCAAAAGGCACTGATGGCTCTGTCTCTAGTAGTAAAGAGGGCACTGCTAATCCATGGCATGAGGTGGAAATGGAAAAACACAAAATATTACCACAACTAGATCAAGCATGTGTGAGAGACAAGGCTCTGAGTGATTGCATATTTTCTGTTTTTCTACAGTTTTATCGGAATGAAAAATATAAAGAAGCTGGTTGATTAGTCCTACTTCTGCTAGACAAAGTGGTGAAAGAAAGGATTATCTCAAAGCTTCAGAGTTACAGTTCAAGTGCTACATACAAGACCTGAAAGTTGTCATTTGTGCCCTGAAAGGAAGTCTGATTTCTTGTAGGCCAGGAGCAAACTCTAGGACAGATCATCAGTGGCTCATATGCAATTTCTGCTCATACCACTGTACGACCTTTGTCATTGTTTATGGTGTCCCTAAGCGTGAAATTGATATGGAACTCTGGTAGCACAGTGGTTACGAATCGGGCTGCGAATCTCAGGGTCAGCAGTTCGAAACTACCAGCTGTTCCATAGGAGAATGATGAAGCTTTCTGCTCCCATAAAGATCTACAGCCTCGGAAACCCTGTACAAGGTCACTATGAGTCGGAACTGACTCCATGGCACCTAACAACAACAACAAAGAGTGAAATTGTTGGGAAAGCTACTAAATATGTACTTGTTTTGTACAAGCAAATATTCTAAATCAAGAGAATGACAGTCTCACTTTAATCATCAGAATAGAGAGTCACAGATCCTCATTCAATCCAAGACTTGAGCTCATTTACAGACCAACAACCCCTGGAATCTTCAAGTCCCTTTGAGGAAGGGCCCCATTATTCTAACAAAAAATTATACTGTTACTCTTTCTCCAAGCCTTTCTCAAAGAGATCTGCAATGTTTTACAAGAGTGGCTGCTCACTGGGGAATTGAAATCATCATTTGAAATCATTTCAGGAATTATTCGTGTAGTGGTGTAGGATGAGCACTGAACTGCTAACAACAAGGTCAGCAGTTCAAACCCACCCACCAGTCTCTCCTTGGAAACCCTATACAGGGTCACTATAATTCGGAACCAGCAACACTTAACAACAACAACTAGACATTGTCTCTGAATGTACAATACTTTCAGGAAACTCAAATTGTGACTGTAGTCCTCTAGTCAGAGTAGGGGCAGATAAAGGTCAGGTTCTTAATGAAGTCTTCACTAAGTACTGTCTCACAATGGGTCCAGTGGGTCCCGGAACCCATGCTGGAGTGATATTCCCAGTTCCAGGATGAATGATTGGCACAGACATACTCATCAACTGGAATAAACCACCACATGGGACCCCTGACATGTGGAGTAAGCACTATTATGGTAAGAAACATCAAGTGGAAGACATTAGAACTGCCCTGCTTAGGACACGTTGCATGCAGATATTGATGTGGCTAATGTCTTTTTCTACATGCCTGTTTCAGATGACACCTGAAGCAATTTGTTTCCACTGGCAGTGCCAGAAATACACCTTCACTGTCCTGCTTCAAAGGTATATGAACTACGTACCCCTATGTCATAATTTAGGGCACAGGGACCTTAACTGACTTTCACTTCCACAAGACATCACAGTAGTTTATTGCACTGATGCCATTAAACTAATTGTATCTAGTAAGGAAGAAGTATCGATGGAATGTAGGAACTGGCAAACAAAATCATTTATATCAACTGCAAGCATAATTTTGCTTGAAATAACTCAAAAACAGTTACAGCAGTACATCAACAGGAAGCTACCAGAAACTAAAGTCCGATTCAGAAGAGGACATGGGATGAGGTATATCATTGCTGTCATCAGATGGATCTTGGCTGAAAGCAGAGAATACTAATTTACTTGTACTTTATTGACTATGCAGAAGTGTTTGACAATATAGATCACTTTTAAAATAAGAATAACATAACATTGTGAAGAATAAGAAATCCAGAACACTTAATTGTGTTCATGTGGAACCTCTATGTAGATCAAGAGGTAATTTTTTTAATAGAATGAAGGGATACTGGGTGATTTAAAATCAGAAAAAGTGTGCACTAGGGTTGTTTTATTCATCATTGTTAATTCAGTCTGTATGCTTAGCAAATAATCTGAGAAACTGGACTATACAAAGAAGAATGAGTTATCAGGATTGAAGGAAGGCTCATGAACAATCTGCCATATGTAGATGACACAACCTTGCTTGCTGGAAGTTAAGAAGACTTGAAGCACTTACTGGTGAAGATCAAAGGATACAACCTGAAAAATGGATTAAACCTCAATGTAAAGAAAACAAAAATCTTTACAAGTGGACCAGTAAATAACATCATGATAAATGAAGAAAAGATTGAATTTATCAAGATTTACTTGCATCCACAATCAACGCTCAGGGAAGCAGCAGTGAAGAACTCAAATGACGTATTGCATTGGACAAATCTGCTGCAAAGACCACGTCAAAGTTTTAAAGAACTAAGATGTCACTTTGAGGATTGAGGTGCAACTGACCCAAGCCATGATATTTTCAATTGCCTTGTATGCATAGTAACACTGCACAATGAATAAAGAAGATCTAAGAAGAATTGATTCATTTGAATTATGGTGTTAGTGCAGAAATTTGTTTTGAAAGAAGTACAGCTTGATTGTTACTTAGAAGTGTCAATGGTGAGATTTCATCTCTCTTCCTTGGATATATGAACAGAAACTAGTCCCTGGTGAGGGACATCATGCTTGGTAAAATGATGGTCAGAAAAAACAAAAAAAATGAAGACCCTCAATGAGATGGATTGGCACAGTGGCTGAGACAATGGACTCAAACATAATAACAAGTGAGAAGTGATACAAGACTTGGCAGTATCTTGTTCTATTGCACATAGAGTGACTATGAGTTGGAACCAACTCGATGGCATCTAATATCAACAGTGGTGTGAGCATGTCAAGCTATTCCTTCTAAAGTGAAGGGTAAGTTATTACATCTGACACCTCCTAGAATTTTGGAGGAAACAAATCCCACATTTGTGTATGCTGCTCTGGACTACTATCAAGTGACTCAAAAAGCTGCTAGTTTTAAGTGGGGCCCAGAACAAATGATGACTCTGCAAAAGGTTCAGACTGCCATGCGAACCCCTCTGCCACTTGGACCATATGATCCGTCTGTCCCAATGGTGCTTGAAATTCCAGTGACCAATAGGAGTGCTGTGTGGAGTCTCTGGCATGCTCCTATTGGTAAATCACAGGACAGATCCTTAGGATTTCAGCACAAAGCTCAACCATCCTCGGAAGATAGCTACTCTCCTTTTCAGAAACAGTATTTGGCTCATTACTGGGTCTTAACATAGACTGAACAATTAACCATTAGACACAAAGCACCATGCAGTTGAAGCTGCCCATCATGGCCCACATAGTCATAAAGTAGCACACACAAATCAGCACTCCATCATTCAAGTGGCATATAAGAGATGGGACTCAAGCAGGACTTGAAGGTATAAATAAATTATACGAGGAAGTGACCCAAATACTCATAATCTCCCCTCATGATACTACCTTACTTCACACAATCTGCACCTACAACCTTTTGGAATTTTATTATGACCAGATGGCTGAGAAAGACAAAACTTGTGAATGGCTTATAAATGGTTCTTTGTGAGATACATGAATCCACATAAAAGTGAACAGCAACCACATGGCAGTGCCTTCCTGGGACCTCCCTGAGAAACAGTGACAAATGGAAATCCTTGTAATTAGCAGAACTTCAAGCAGTGCACCTGATTGTTCATTTGGCTTTGAAGGAGAGGTGGCCAGTTGTGCAATTGTATACTGATTCATGGGTTGCAGCCAATGGTTTGTCCAGATGGACTTGTAAGGAACATGACTAGAAAACTGGTAACTAGGAGGTATGGGAAAGAGTGGATAGAACTCTCTGACTTGACCCAAGAAGTGAAGATGTTTGTGTCTCATATTAATGCTCACTCACATGTGACCTTGGCATAAGGGGATTTTAGCAATCATGTGGTTCTAGGAATGCCAGTCAGTCTCTTTCCACAGACACACTTGTCATTGTCCATGGGCTCTGTCTTATGCTGGTTTCTCTAGAAAAAAAACAAAAAACAAAAAAAAAAAAACAATTATATCAAGGAAATGGCTCACACAGTTGTAGAAGTGGGACAGCACCAAGTCTGGCTCAGATGAACTAAGATTTCCAGGTCAAATGGCAGGCATGCAGCAGGTCCAGGAGACAGGCAAGCAGGTAGGTTTGACAGGCAGGCTTGCAGGCATGCAGGCAGGTCAGGTGGGTAGGAAGGTAGGCTGCTAATGAGTCCGAGGATGAGCAGGTAATAGAGCAAGCCACTGACTCAATTCCAAAGAACTGGAGATCGGAGGATAAGAAAAATATAAGATCCAGATCCAGCAGAGAACAAGCAAGCTTTACCCAAATGTCTGATATATCTGAAGTGTCTGATCTATCCGAGGAAACTTCCTTTCAATTGATTAGCTGCATAGTAAGAGGCTTCATCATAGAGTTGATTATGGCCCAGTCCAGTTGGCACAAAACTTTAACCATCACAATCCACCCCTTGTCAACTTGACACCTGTATCTATCTCCTTCAACCATATATAGAATCTCGAAATAAAGACAAGAATAAAGTCATATGCAGTTAATACACGTACAACAAAAAATGCACTGACCCCATTTACATCTTATATTTCTCAAATGAACAAAGCAAAAATATTTGACGTGTACATACAAGAAAAAGAATCATTAATAACAATTAAAAAATTTTAAACTAGTCCATATGGGCAAAGCTGGTATTAAGAACTACTGTCTTTCAGTAATCATTCTGTTTTCCCTTTCCTCAGCTGGACATGGTTATTCACCCAGTGGAGTGACCCAAAACTTCAAAAGTTCATTCCTGAAGGATCTAAGCAATTAGTAGCCATGCTAAAATTGGTCTGCTATAGTCTACCATTGACTTTAATCAGAGGGAATGGTAGTGCTAAGACACAGCCTAAGGAATCTCCTGGATTCTATGTATGTTATTTACCTCCATTATGCAATGTCAATCCAACTTCTACTTGATCAGGATCAATCTTTGTAACTCTCTTCTTTGCCTGTTGATTCAAAGACATGAGGAGACTTTTAGTGGTCAGGGAGCCTTCTTTAGTTCCAGTTCAATGGAATAAGTGTTGTGTTTCCAGGTGGTAGTGTTCCTCCTTACGGAACTAAAACTTTAAGACCTGAAGATAATATGGTTGCAGGGACAGAAAGCAAACATTTTGCAAGTGGGTAACTTTACAAGTGGTGGTGCCGCTTCTGTTTCTAACTCTTGGCTCCTAGACCTATGAATTCTGCCCAGCGGAGAAACAGCACCATACATTAGACTCTGGTTTAGAGCGTATACAACCTCCTGGAGAACACTGCAAAGTATTGGCACCTAGTTGGCACTATAATGTGTCTTTAACATTCCATTCCATCATTCATTCAAGTCAGCTGTTCCTGGATGAGGAACATAGTAAGGCAAATGAATTCCATCAGCATGGGCCCATTGCAGCACATCATTTGCTGTGAAGTGAGCCCTTTGATCTGAGGCAGTTCTGTGTGGACAAGGCATTATGCAAGTTTACAGATGGTAGTTTTGGTAGAAACATTGTGTCCAGGAAGGCAAATCCATATCCAGAATGTCTACGGCAGTAAGAAAAAAAAAAAAAAAAATCTGCCCTTTTAATGATGTGTTCCAATATAATCAACCTACCACCAGGCTGCCGGCTGGTGTCCTGGAGGAATGGTCCCATATTAGGACTCAATGCAGGTCTCTGATGCTGGAAGATTAGGCACTCTACACTGACTATAGCCATATTAGCCTTGCTGAGTAGAAATATGCATTGCTGACTGAGCCCAGCATAATCTCTGTGATAGTTAAGCATTTGTATCAATTTGACTGAGTCAGCTTGACAGAAGTCCTGGTGTGGCACTGTGGGTTAATGCGCTGGACTGCAAAGTCATTTGAACTGCAAAGTCAGCAGTTCAAGCTCTCCAGCTGCTTCTCGGAAACCCTATAGAGGGTCACTATGGGTCAGAACCAACTTGATGGCACTTAACAACAACAAATCAACTTGAGTAGGCCCCGATTCTCAGTGGTTTGGAGCTTAATATGAAGTCATTTCCCATGATGAGATCTTTTATGAACAGCCAATCAATTGAAAGGAAATTTCCTCGGGGGTGTGGCCTGCTTTCAATATATCAGACACTCAAGCAATGTTTGCCTGCTCTCTGTTGGGTCTGGATCTTACATTCACTTGGCCTGTGTTGGGGGTTCTTTGTACTTGAACCAGTGGCCTTCTGTTACCTACTGATCCTAGGCATCATCTGCAGCCTCCCTTTTTACCCGCCTCTTCTTCTAAATCTTTCTTAGTCTGAAAGCTCCACTGAAATCTGCCCACCACGGGTGAGCCTACTGGTCCTTAAAATTCCAGTGGCATAGCTTTCAGCATCACAGCAACATGTGAGTCACCACAGTACAACAAACGGATCAGTGAGTAGGGAGTTTGAGGAAGGGTTAAAACATGAAAATACCACCTTCAGAAGTGTATATACCTAGGTGAAATCTTTGCTGAGAAACAATTGTTGCTGTAGTTAAGTGCCATGGAGTCAGTTCCTACCCATAGAGATGCTGCATAAGGTTTCCAGGGAACAGCTGGTGAGCTTGGTGAGCTTGAACTGCCAACCTTGCAGATCAGACCCACTTTGTAGTCCAGAGCATTAACCCACAGCACCACACCAGGACTCTAATAGCTTTATATATATATTTCTATGAGTTTTTTGCTTACCCTTATGTGTGTGTGTATACATACTAGTATATTTTTGGTTTCATACCAGTTAGTTGCACCATGTTAGACATAAGTAAGACTCTATAATTATTTCTATCTAGAAATTCTGTATGGTTTCAGGATTTTCTAACCCCTAAAACCACATGAGTCAAGAGAAGCCTCCAGACAAGCAGATGCCAACTTGACAAGGGATACACTGTGATGGTATGTGTTAGCTCAGCTAGGTTATGATTCTCTGTGGCTTAACATTGTATGCAAGTTTCCTTCATTTTGTGATCTGATGTGGGCAATCAATCAATTGAAAGGGGAATTTCCCCAGGGGTATGATCTCCATGTAATAGATATGCATGTTTTGGCAAAGCTAGTTCTCTCTCTCCTTCTCTTTCTGTCTCTTCTGGATCCAAGTCATGAAACTCTGAAATATGGTTCTTGAGACATGAGCCAGCAGCTTGTCATCTGACCTGTTGATTTGGGGATTTTCTAACCCCTAAAACCACATGAGTCAAGAGAAGCCTCCAGACAAGCGTGGAGAGTAAAGCGTCCAGCTGATATGAAGTGAGGGGAGATGCACAAGAACTCCCATACTTGCAGATAACACCCATTTGACCTTGCTTCAATGACTGGATGATCAGAACTTGACTAGAGGAAGAAAGAAGAGGGGGGAAAAAATGTAACTCACTGCAATTTGATGAACTTGACCTATATTTATGGATGTAGTAGCTTAAAAGAGAGAATGAATCTTTGCAGCAAGCATCATTCCCGCCCCTCGGTACACAGGGTTGGCAGGGATGGGCAACTTAGACCTTGGCTACCCAAAATGGGGGTGGGGGGCCTACAAAGGCAGGAAGAGACTGGCTTACAAACTTTCAAGAGGGAGCCTAGTTTCAGAGGGTACGGGGGAAAGTAGAATCTCCACTGAGTGGTTTCCAACCTGTCTGGATGGGACTGGTTAAAGGAGATGGGGATAAGACTCTTGTGGTTCAATAGTGAACAGTTGCTATCAGGACTGACTATGAGTGTTGGAAATGAAAAGATAGATGTTTTGTAACAAAAGGAAAGGAGTAGTTGATCTTGGTCCAGGAGTGGAGGTCCCTGGGACCATAAAGAGAGAAGAGCAGAGTGTGGGACCCTATCCATGGAAGCATTGATGCCAGAGATGGAGGCAGAGACGATGACATAGAGAGATGGAGCTGCTGGGGACCCTGGACTCAGGAAGGGAGAGGAGCTGTGTGCTGACGGTCTGGAGGTAGGCTTGCAGGGTGTGCCCTTTGGTTGTTTAAATGAATGGTTGTATAGTCCTGAGTGCTTCGGTGTACA